ATCTCTTGACCTCGTGATCCGCCCGCCTTGGCCTCCCAAAGTGCTGGGATTACAGGCTTGAGCCACTGTGCCTGGCCTATGTTTAATTTTTAAAGAAACTTATATATTATTTTTCAAAGTGGTTGCACCATTTTACCTTCCCACCAATAGTGGATAAGCATTCCAATTTCTCTGTGTTTTCACCAATACTTGTTACTGTGTGGGTGTGAAGTGAGAGCCAGCTACTTGTGAGAGTATCTGAAGAAGACACTAAAGACATACCTCACTTTATTGCATTTTGATTTACTGTGTTTTTTTATAAATTGAAGGCTTGTGGCAACCTTCTGTCAAGCGAGTTGATGGCACCATTTTTCCAACAGCATGTGCTCACTTCCTGTCTCTGTGTCACATTTTGGCAATTCTTACAGTATTTAAAACTTTTTATTTATTATATCTGTTATGGTAACACCTGTGATCAAGGATGTTTGATGTTGCCATTCTGATTGTTTTGATGCCCCTCAAACCATGCCCATATAAGATGGCAAACTTCATTGATAAATTTTGCATGTGTTCTGACAGGTTGATAGAATTGATAGAACTATCAACCAGCTGTTTCTCTTTCTCCCTCTCCTTAGGCCTCCCTATTCCCTGAGACACAATAAAACTGAAACCAGGCCAATTAGTAACTCTACAATGGCCTCTGAGTTTTTGAGTGAAAGGAAGGTCTCTTATTTTAAATCAAAAGCTAGAAATGATTAAGCTCAATGAGTAAGGCATGTCAGAAGCCAAGATAAGTTGAAAGCTAGGCCTCTTGTGCCAAACTGCCAAGTTGTGAATACAAAGAAAACGTTCGTGAAGGAAATGAAAAGTACTATCGTGGTGAACACATGAATTATAAGAAAGTGAAACAGCCCTGTTGCTGATAGGGAGAAAGTTCTGAGTGGTCTGTGTAAAATATCAAACCAGGTACATCATTCCCTTAAGCCAAAGCCTATTTCAGAGCAAGACCCTACCTCTCTTCAATTCTTTGAAGGCTGATAGAGGTGAGGAAGCTACATAACAGAAGTTTGAGGCTAGCAGGGGTTGGTTCATGAGGTTGAAGGAAAGGAAGCCGTAATAACATAAAAGTACAGGGTGAAGCAGCAAATGCTGATGTAGAAGCATCCAGCAAATTATTCTGGATATAGCTAAGATAATTGATGAAAGCCTTATACTGGAAGAAGATACCATCCAGGTATCTAAAAGTCCATGCCTTGCTTTAGCACTTCAAAGGACAGGTTGATTCTCTTGTTAGCAGGTAATGCAGTCGGTGACTTCAAGTTGAAGCCAGAGCTCATTTACCATTCTGAAAATCCTAGAGCCCTTAAGAATTATTCTAAATCTGCTCTGCTTGTGCTATATATGGAACAACAAAGCCTGATGATAGTACAACTATTTACAGCATTGTCTACTGAATATTTTAAGCCCACTGTTGAGGCCTACTGCTCAGAAAAAAAGATGCCTTTCAAAATATATGCTTGCAGACAATGTACCTGCTCATCCAAGAGCTCTGATGGACATATACAAGGAAATTGAGGGTTTTTTTTTGAGATGGAGTGTCACTCTGTCACCTAGGCTGGAGTGCAGTGGGACAATCTCACCTTACTACAACCTCTGCCTCCCGGCCTCCCAGGTTCAAACAGTTCTCCTGCCTCGGCCTCTCAGAGTTCTGGGATTATAGGCATGAGCCACAGTACCCAGCCTAGACTGAGGTTACTTTCATGCCTGCTAACATAGCATCCATGCTGTAGCCCATGGATCAAGAAGTAATTTTGACTTTTGAGTCTTATTATTTAAGAAATTCATTTCATAAGGCTATAGCTGCCATATATAGTATTCCTGTGATGGATCTGAGCAAAGTTAAATTGAAAACCTTCTTGAAAGGATTCATCATTCTATAAGGACATTTATGTGGCTGGGTGCGGTGGCTTATGCCTGTAATCTCAGCACTTTGGGAGGCCGAGGAGGGCAGATCACCTGAGATTGGGAGTTCAAGACCCAGCCTGACCAACATGGAGAAAGACCATCTCTACTAAAAACACAAAATTAGCCAGGCATGTTGGTATATGCCTGTAATCCCAGCTACTTGGGGGGCTGAGGCCAGAGAATTGCTTTAACCAGGGAGGCAGAGGTTGCGGTGAGCAGAGATTGCGCCATTGCACTCCAGCTTGGGCATCAAGAGCAAAACTATGTCTCAAAAAAAAAAAAAGAACATTCATGTCCTTTGGCAGCACGTATACTAAAATTGGAATGACAGACGATTAGCATGGCCCCTGCACAGGGATGACAAGCAAATTCGTGAAGCATTCCATTTTAAAAAAAAAAATTCATGATTTATAAGAGGATGTCAAAATATTGCCATTAACAACAATTTGGAAGAAGCTACTTCTAGCCCTCATGGGTAACTTTGAGATGTTCAAATACTTTAGTGGAGGAAGTAACTGCAGATGTTGGTAGAAATAGCAAGAGAACTAGAACTAGAAGTGGAGCCTGAAGATGGGAATGAATTGCTGCAATCTCATGAGAAAACTTGAATGGATGAATAGTTGCTTCTCATGGATAGGCAAAGAAAGTAGTTTCTCGAACTGGAATCTACTGGTAAAGAGGCTGTGAACATGTTGAAATTACAACAGGATTTAGAATATTCTATGAATTTAGTTGACAAAGCAACAGCAGGATTTCAGAGCATTGACTCTAGTTTTGAAAGCAGTTCCATGGTTAAAATGCTGTACAGCATCGCATGCTACAAAGAAATCTTTTGTAAAAAGAAGAGTCAATCAGTGGGGCAAACCTTATTGTTATCTTAAGAGAGTGCTGCAGCTGCTCAGTCTTCAGCAACCATAACCCTCATTAGTCGGCAGCCATCAACATCAAGGCAAGATCCACCAGCAAAAAAATTGCAATTCACTAAAAGTTCAGATGATTTTTAGCATATTTTAGCAATAAAGTTTTTTTAATTATTATTTTTTTTTAAGATGGGGTTTCACCATGATGGCCAGGCTGGTCTTGAACTCCTGACCTCAGGTGATCGACCTCGGCCTCCCAAAATGCTAGGATTACAGGCATGAGCCACCGCTCCTGGCGCAATAAAGTATTTTTAAATTAAGGTATATATGTTAGTTTTTTGCTAGCCATAATGCTACTAATAGACAACAGTGTAGTATTAAGTATAACTTTCATATTTACTGGGAAATCAGAAAATTCATGTGACTTACTTTATTGCAGTATTATTTTGGTGGTCTGGAATCGAACCTGCAATATCAAGGTATTTCTATACTTAGGTGAAAGAATTGAGGTTGTCTGTTAATTCTAACCACACACCAATCATTTACTTGTTCATACAGCCATTCAACAGGTATTACTGGATTCAGTGGTAAACAATATAGGGAACACTATCCTTACTGTCTCAACGGGAAGATGATCAAACAAGCAATATTATAATAACTTAATCAAGAAAGCAGTATTTGCTGTGTGATACCTTGGCTAGAGTCCTGTGATAATTAATGAGTTATACACTGTTTTTGTTAGAGCAGGTCCCCTGTGTTAGTTTGCAAGTGACAAAATTCTGCTCTAGCCCACTTAGGCAGATTGGGGGATTTAGTACCCATTGAGCTGGAGTTCTTTGGAAGCAGAGCTGTGCCTTTGTGTGAAGCCTTAACTTTTTCTCGATTGCAGAACGCCAGCAGGGGCCCTTATACAGACCCCAAGGAGACTGGATAAAATCCATGAGCTTGTGAACTTCAGTGGGACTTGCGGGGGCGGGTGGGGGAACGGAATCTGTTTTTTGGTTTTGTTTTTTTACTGACCTCTACTAACATTTTATAAATGTAGAGAACAGATAAAATGTTAACAGTACTTGTGTTTGGTGACCAATAAAAATCAGTTATTTTCATATCACATTGTAGATGTCTATATCTCAAAATATTATTTTGTTCATCCCTGCTTCAAAATGATAACCATTATTAGACCTGCAACAAGATCTTATTATTGTATGCATGCAGAAGCACATTTGTCATAATTTTGCTTTTTGAACAGTTTGATAACTGGATTTCATTATGGTTTCTGTTTCTTTTTTTAGTAATTTGAGTATTTTCAGTGTTAAGGTATTCTGAGATAAGATCTAAATGCATAGGGGCACCTGCTGTAGAAAAGATTGGGACTCCTTGATGACAGTAAAAGATCTGATACTGCGTTAAAAAAAAAAAAAAGATTGGGAACCCCTACTTTTATGTTCTTCTGAGGTACCACCACTATGTGTCCTGTGCACCTCTATTTCTTGCTACAATGCAGTTGTTTTCCCTCTGTTCTTCCTTTCATCTGCTCAGACTACCTGCAGAAACTCAATTCCAGCCAATGTACTTCCACTCAAAATCCAAGGAGTTCTAGTCGGTGGGTTTTTTTTTTTCCAGCTACATTCATGTGTGGGTCAAGGCAGGTGGTTTTGTTGTTGTTGTTGTTGTTGTTGTTTTGGTGGGGGGAGGGCAGGTGGTGGTTGGGGACGGAGTCTTGCTCTGCTGCCCAGGCAGGAGAGTACAATGGCATGATCTCAGCTCACTGCAACTTCCGCCTCCCAGGTTCAAGCGATTCTCCTGCCTCAACCTCCTGAGTAGCTGGGACTACAAGTGTGTACCACCATGCCCAGCTAGCTTTTGTATTTTTAGTAGAGACAGAGTTTTGCCATGTTGGCCAGCCTGGTCTCAAACTCCTCACTTCAAATGATCTGCCTGCCTTGGCCTCCCAAAGTGCTGGGATTACAGCTGTGAACCATGTTCCCAGCCCTCTCATTCATTTTTAATAACTGAAAGTCAAGGAGAGGGGACAACAAAATGTAAAAATTAGGGATAGATATCATCTTTGGCTAAACAGTAACATACACATTGGTTCAAAAAGTTTTTGAAGTAAATAATATTCTTGTTAACCTGGCACATAAGCTCTTAATAAACACTTTTTGATTATTTATATTTCTTTTTATTTTTAAACAGAAATCATGTTGTTGATGTCAGTGTTGCAGTCAGTACTCCTGCAGGACTCATCACACCTATTGTGTTTAATGCACATATAAAAGGACTGGAAACCATTGCTAATGATGTTACTTCTTTAGCAACCAAAGCAAGAGAGGGTAAACTACAGCCACACGAATTCCAGGTAAGGTATTAATTATTGCTTTCTAATTACATTATTTTTAAGGTTTACATAATGCATTTATTGCATTTTTCACCTTTTGATTCTGCCACATAATTATTTTTATTATTTATTTATTTATTTTTTGAGACAGAGTCTTACTCTTGTCACCCAGGCTGGAGTGCAGTGGTGTAATCTTGGCTCACTGCAACCTTCACCTCCCAGGTTCAGGTAATTCTCCTGCCTCAGCCTCCTGAGTAGCTGGTATTACAGGCACATGCCACCACACCTGGCTAATTTTTTTTGTGTACATTTTTAGCAGAGATGGGGTTTCACTGTGTTGGCCAGGCTGGTCTCAAACTCCTGACCTCAAATGATCTGCCCACCTCAGCCTCCCAGAATACTGGGATTACAGTTATGAGCCACCATGCCTGGCCTGCCATTTAATTCTTATTGACACATGGTTCTGAAAATAAAAACCCAAACTCAATTACATATCCAAAAGAAGACATTGTCTGATAATAAAACATTTTCCAGGTGACTTCTTTCTTCATATTGTAATAGTTGTATATTTTCAGTAATGTGTATTCCATTCAGGCCTTTCTTAAGACCTTGCACCTTTTTCACTTAGTCTTTTCATAGAACATTTGTCATGTTTTCTGATTTATGTTGACAAACAGTATAATCTATTTTTAATATTTTTTTCCTCTAGGGTGGCACTTTTACGATCTCCAATTTAGGAATGTTTGGAATTAAGAATTTCTCTGCTATTATTAACCCACCTCAAGCATGTATTTTGGCAATCGGTGCTTCAGAGGATAAACTGGTTCCAGCAGATAATGAAAAAGGGTAAGTGCCAAACTGGATGGGAAGTCATAAGCTAATTTTTATTACATTATACACATGTTCTGTGGTATCTTCAGGATTGGCTCTAGGAACCCCCTCAAATACCGCAATTTACAATGCTTACGTCCCTGATATAATATGATGTAGTATTTGCATATAACCTACGCACATCCTTCTGTATACTTTAATCTCTGCTTATAACACAACACCTAAATAGCACTTAATTCATGTGGATCCTCTATAGTACCCAGTGTGCGGCAAATTCAAGTTTTACTGACTGGAAATTTGTGGAATTGTTTACTTTCCAGAAATTTGGATCCATGGTTGGTTTAAACTATGGATTTGGAACCCATGGGTAGATATATGGAGGGCCAACCATACCTATTTTTGAGTATTAGTGTTTTTGTTTGTTTGTTTGAGATGGAGTCTCAATTACTCTGTCACCCAGGTGGGAGTGCGGTGGTGCCATCTCAGCTCACTGCAATCTCCACCTCCCAGGTTTAAGAAATTCTCTGGCCTCAGTCTCCTGAATAGTTGAGATTACAGACATGCACTATCATGCTTTGGCTAATTTTTGTATTTTAGTAAACATGGGGTGGGGTTTTTCACCATGTTGGCCAGGCTGGTCTTGAACTCCTGACCTCAAGTGATCTGCCCACCTTGGCCTCCCAAACTGCTGGGATAATAGGAATGAGCCACCGTGCCCAGCCAGAGTTTCAGTTTTTGAGGTGGAAAGCCTTTATCCTAGGTGAGGAGTCAGCATGTTTTTTCTTAGTCATATAGTAAGTATTTTAGGCTTTCTGAGAGATATGGCCTCTGTTGCATTATAATGTGAAAGGAGGCATAAACAATACATAAATGAATTGCAGTAAACCTTTACTTATAAAAACTTAGAGGGCAGGATTTGGCCCATTGCCCACCCATACTGCAGGTATGTGGTCTGTTTCTTCAAGCTATTAATTTGAATTAAAGGTATAGGAGACTGGAAGAGTAGATAGGAAATATTGCCTGGTTGGGATTTTAAGGTAATAGCGAGCATTTGGGTGGTTACTGGCTGAAATGCAGTTCTTTTCTTTCAGAATATCTAAAATGTTTTTATTTTTTTCTAGGTTCGATGTGGCTAGCATGATGTCTGTTACACTCAGTTGTGATCACCGGGTGGTGGATGGAGCAGTTGGAGCTCAGTGGCTTGCTGAGTTTAGAAAGTACCTTGAAAAACCTATCACTATGTTGTTGTAACTAACTCAAGAATTTCTAAACTCTCCCAGGTCACACTCATTCATTCTTATCAAGATATTTATATGTTATTAAACAGGTGGTTTTTATTTTAAAGTTAACCAGTTATTTTTATTATTGAGTCTGTCCAGATAAGTTATTTATAATGGGCATTACTGAATTTTTAAAATGACGATTACACCCAAATATTGTGCACATTTAATAATCAGACACCAGATTTTTAGCTGTGTACTCCTAGTTAAGGGACATGTGGCCTTGCCTAGACCTTTGGTGATAAGTACATCCACTAGGAAATGTAGGATAGGTAGGATTGTGGTTCCCTAAAGACAAGTACATAAAGGTAACCTGGGTGAAACCTTGAAGTTCTGAAACTTAATTTCCTAAAATGTTCTCCTTAAGATGTGAGAGAAAGAGAAATCAGGAAAATTAGTTCTCTTGGAGGAAGGGCTTGAATTGAATTTTACTTTAGAATTTAACCCTGGTTTAAAATTTTCCATTACATGATCTTTGTTTACCATGAATGGGAAGGGTAGAAAACTTCAAGGAAAATAAGTGAAATTTTACAAGTCAGCATTTTCTTAGACCTCTTCAGCTGATTGTTTATTTTTCTATAACCTATATATGGTTGTTTTCCCCCCTCTTGAGATAATGATCTAAATATAAACAAGCTACCTGATATAAATGAGAATTTGTGTGATTTATTTAAACAAATGTGTAATTTTGAGTACAGAATTCAACTGTTACCTCCAAAAAAGAAACATTTTTAGAAGGCCGGGCGCGGTGGCTCAAGCCTGTAATCCCAGCACTTTGGGAGGCCGAGGTGGGTGGATCACAAGGTCAAGAGATTGAGACCATCCTAGTCAACATGGTGAAACCCCGTCTCTACTAAAAATACAAAAAATTAGCTGGGCATGGTGGTGCGTGCCTGTAATCCCAGCTACTCAGGAGGCTGAGGCAGGAGAATTGCCTGAACCCAGGAGGTGGAGGTTGCGGTGAGCCGAGATTACGCCATTGCACTCCAGCCTGGGTAACAAGAGGGAAACTCCTCCTCAAAAAAAAAAAAAAAAAGAAAAAAAAAAAAGAAACATTTTTAATAGAATTTAACAGAAGTTGTGAAACTAGAATTTTCCTTCTAAGATTAACTGGAAATTCATTGTAAATGAATCTAATTAACATAATTTATTACTCCACTCTGGAAAATGCTGTCAGATAACTAAAAATGTACATATGTAAAATATGGTTACTAGAGTTAAAAACGTGCCAAAGTCTATTTATCCCAAATCCTATCTGTAAAGAAGAGGAGGGGTACATTGGTAAACATTTTAGAGTGCTTAAAAATGCCAAAAACAAAATGGCAATTTCTACTTGGATAAAGTAAAAAAAGTTAAATGTGTGTAAAAAAGTGTTCTGTGTCTCTCTACTCCAGCATCATCTCATTTAAAGTAAGAAAGCCCTAAAATACTGTTGCAGAGAAAATATTAACTAGTTTGCTACCTTATTAGCCTAAATACTTTTTTCCATTTTGTTAGATTTTGCCTTTCTTTTGGAAGGAAGGAAGGAGGATATTCAGGATTATAAAAATGAATTGGGAACATTATCACAATTCCAGACTTTCTATTAATATTTATATGTTTTAATAAACACTTGAAATTATTTATGACTACTTAAAATGAAATTTGACCAGTACTTCCTTGTATATGTAATTGGGGAGTTATCCCCTGAAATTTGCTTTAAGTGTTTCAGTGTTGAATTTGTTTCTAAATATTCATTATTACATGGTGCACAAGTGACACTCCATATATTCCAGACTTTTACCTTGCTGTATTATTATAAAAACAATACATTAATCTGATTTTTCAGTAATTAGTAATTTTAGGTTGAAGATTATCTAAAAGAAACAAGCTTATCACAAGGGACCATCATCAATATGATCCAAATCTGGTTCAAACATTCAGAACTTCAAAGATAACTCACCTTTTGCTAATGTTTGTCGTTCTGTTGTTCCCTTGAAAAAAATAATAAAAAGTTGTTTTCTAATAAACATCATTGAGTTAAAAATTAATCTGAGCTGTAATCTAAATCTGGATTCAGTCTCTTACCAGAAGTGAAGGAAAAAAGAGAAATAGTGTTTTTGGTTCATATGTGATTATTTTAAAATTAAAGCATATGTCTTCAATATGTCTGGTTTAATTTTTTCTATTAATAATTGTTTTCACATTTAAATTATTTATATCTAGGGACAGCCATGTATGTATAAGCTGTCAATACAGATGAATTTTGAGTTCATATAATTGGTAAAATATGGACTGCATTTTGGAGAATATAATCTAAAACTTTGAGCTCAAAGAGTTCCTGAAGCACCCTGTGTTAGGATGTGGTACTTACTACCAAGATGGAAAGTGTGGTCTGGTTCTGTTAGGTAGTTTATTCCCAATTCTGAAGCTTGTGAGTGTTAAGTTAGGGTATCCCAAGGCATGGTCTAGAAAGGAGTAAGCAAGTATGTTTCATCATGTGTAATGCACAAGTCATGGAATACATGGGGAAATTATAATTACTGATAGGCAATCTAAAACCAAGTTTGTAGAAAAGTCCAGTCTTTTTTTTTTTTTTGAGATGGACTCTTGCTCTGTCACCAGGAGTGCAGTGGCATGATCTCAGCTCACTGCAACCTCTGCCTCCCGGGTTGAAGGGGAACCTGCCTCAGCCACCATGTCTCACTCATTTTTTGTATTTTTAGTAGAGACTCGCTTTCACTGTGTTAGCCAAGAATGTATCGATCTCCTGACCTTGTGATCTGCCCACCTCAGCCTCCCAAAGTGCTGGGATTACAGACGTAAGCCACTGCACCCAGCCTCCAAATTTCTAATTTTGAGAAAAAGAAATCTTAGTAATATTTCAATTTAAACCAGTCCATAGTTCATTATTAGTTAATGCCCTTCCTGGGCCATGTTTTGTTTTTTGTAAGGAGGGGAAGGTAGAGCTGTTTTTATTAATATAAAATGATATGAGTGAGAATACTTTGAAAAATAACTAGAATGTAAATTTTACCACTTTAAGTATATTAGGTCTTGATGTGCATGAGTACACAAACAGATAATGATGTAAGGACATCTAAGTGCTGAGTGCAAGGGTAGCGATTCAGTTCTATGTGGTTAAGAGTTTTTAGGAAATATATTTTGGTAGTGATATTGTAGGACGAAAGATAAGGTGAAGGCACTCAAGTTTTTTTTAGGGGTGAGAATGTAATAGATTTGTTAATTTTAGGACATGATACAGTTCCAGAAATTTTTCAGGAGATAAATTATCCTGTTACTAGCAGAACTTAAATCAGACTGGGCCTTCAAAAAGGTGATTTGAGACAAGGAAAAAAACAAAAATCCAGACCAGGCTTAAGAAAATTATGTTTCTTGAGATACCAGTGTGCCCTGTTGCTACTGTGAAGAAAAAAAAGGAAGAAAATTATGTTTGCTTTAGGCCAGGCACAGTGGCTCACGCCTGTAATCCCAACATTTTGGGAGGCCAAGGCAGGCAGATCACTTGAGGTCAGGAGTTTCAGACCATCCTGGCCAACATGGTGAGACCCAGTCTCTACTAAAAATACAAAAATTGGCCAGGCATGGTCAAAGGTGCCTGTAATCCTAGCTATTCAGGAGGTTAAGGCAGGAGAATCACTTGAACCTGGGGTGGAGCCAGGGTAGGGATCAGAGGTTGCGATGAGCCAAGATCCCGCCACTGCACTTCAGCCTGGGCGACAGAGCAAGACCGTAAAAAAAAAAAAAATTATATAAATATATATATATTTTTGAGACAGAGTCTTGCTCTGTCACCCAGGCTGGAGTGCAGTGGCGTGATCTGGGCTCACTGCAACCTCCACCTCCTGGGTTCAAGCGATTTTCCTGCCTCAGCCCTCCCAAGTAGCTGGGACTACAGGTGCCCACCACCATGCTGGCCAGGTTGGTCTTGATCTCTTGACCTTGTGATTGCCCACCTCAGCCTTCCAAAGTGCTGGGATTACAGACATGAGCCACCTCACCTGGCCTATATTTCTTTTAAATGTCATGTATCAGTCATTTCTGTTCCACAACGTTAGTTTTTATAGTTAAAAAGTTTTAGCCGAGCACGGTGGCTCACGCCTGTAATCCCAGCACTTTGGGAGGCTGAGGTGGGTGGATCACCTGATGTCAGGAGTTCAAGACCAGCCTAACCAATATGGTGAAACCCCCATCTTAAAACAAACAAACAAAAGGTTTTAAAATTAGTAAGGACTTTGGCCTGTCTATTGAACTAGAAACTTTATTACAATGTTAAGTAAAGGAAACTTGTATCTAGAAAAGATAATTAAGGGGTATTTAAAGTCTGCATATAGCTTACTTGGTGTATAAATTGGATAGTTGGTACTTTTGTACTTCAGAGCTTAGAAGAGATGAATGATAGATGAAAGTACATAACTTCTATACTTCTGATCATTTCTTTAGGAGGAAAGCGCTTGTCCCAATGTCAATTACTTTTTTGTTCAAATAAGAGATATTTTGCAGGCTGGGCGTGGTGGCTCACGCCTGTAATCCCAGCACTTTGGAAGACTGAGGCAGGTGGATTACCTGAAGTCAGAGTTTGAAACCAGCCGGGCCAACATGGCAAAACCCTGTCTCTACTAAATATACAAAAATTAGCTGGGCGTGGTGATGGGCACCTGTAATCCCAGCTACTCAGGAGGCTGAGACAGGAGAAGCACTTGAACCCAGGAGGCAGAGGTTGCAGTGAGCCAAGGTTGCGCTACTGCTTTCCAGCCTGGGGGGGAAAAAGATATAATTTGCTTACTGTTACTATGTCATTATATCCAATCTATAGACAAGTCTATATCTGATACTAAAATGTCTAGATGGGTAGATGGGTCTCCTGGCAGAGCTGTTTAACTGAAGTACAGAGGTTAGGGTCTGGGGGTGGTGGCTAACACCTGTAATCCCAGCACTTTGGGAGGCTGAGGCAGATGGATCACAAGGTCAAGAGATCGAGACCATCCTGGTCAACATGGTGAAACCCCGTCTCTACTAACAATACAAAAAAATTAGCTGGGCATGGTGGCACGTGCCTGTAATCCCAGCTACTCAGGAGGCCGAGGCAGGAGAATTGTCTGAACCCCGGAGGCGGAGGTTGCAGTGAGCCGAGACCGTGCCGTTGCACTCCAGCCTGGGTAATGAGCAAAACTCTGTCAAAAAAAAATTAGCCAGGTGTTGGCTGGGCGTGGTGGCTCATGCCTATAATCCCAGCACTTTGGGAGGCCAAGGCAGGTGGATCACGAGGTCAAGAGATCAAGACTATCCTGGCCAACATGGTAAAACCCATCTCTACTAAAAAATACACAAATTGCTGGGCGCGGTGGCTCAAGCCTGTAATCCCAGCACTTTGGGAGGCGGAGGTGGGTGGATCACGAGGTCAAGAGATCGAGACCATCCTGGTCAACATGGTGAAACCCCGTCTCTACTAAAAATACTAAAACTTAGCTGGGCATGGTGGCGTGTGCCTGTAATTCCAGCTACTCAGGAGGCTGAGGCAGAATTGCCTGAACCCAGGAGGCGGAGGTTGCGGTGAGCCGAGATCGCGCCATCGCACTCCAGCCTGGGCAACAAGAGCGAAACTCTGTCTCAAAAAAAAAAAAAAAAAAAAAAAAACACAAATTAGCTGGGCATGGTGGTGTGCGCCTGTAGTCCCAGCTACTTGGGAAGCTGAAGCAGGAGCATTGCTTGAACCCCGGAAGCAGAGGTTGCAGTGAGCCGAGATTGCACCACTGCACTCTAGCCTGGCGCCTGGTGACAGAGCGAGACTCTGTCTCAAAAAAATAAAATAAAATAAAATAAAATAAGCCAGGCATGGTGGTGCATGCCTATGGACCCAACTACTCAGGGGCTGCGATAGGAGAATGGCTTGAACCTGGGAGGCAAAGGTTGCAGTAAGCCAAGATCACACCACTGCACTTCAGCCTGAGTGATACATCAAGACTCAGTCTCAGTGAAGTACAGAGGTTAACAGAAGCATAGGGTTGAATATTATATTTAGCCCTGTATTTTTATTGTTGGAGGAGACTCACTGATGCAACCCACCATGGTAATAAAAAACTTGATTGTACAGTCTGGGATTTTTTCCTGATAGAAAAATTTACTAGAGACTTTTTCAAGCAGTAAACCAAGAGTTCTCGCTTGTTACTTGGAAACAATTAGAATTTTTCCAAATGATAAATTACTTAAGATATCTTTAAAACAAGTATGTCATGGCAATACTGTTTTTAATAGTTTCTGATTGATGTTTATTTGAGAAGAAGAAAGTGAGTTTAAAAACATAAGACAAAAACAGCTGCAGAGAAAATCTGTCAAGATGAACTTAGAAAATAATGGAATTGTTAAGTTTAAGATAAACTACTATCTCTTTACCCATAATGAAAGTCCTTTAATTCATATGACTTTAGCACTGAAAACCCAAGCATATGATGCTCTTGTTTTACACCAAAGGCATTGTGATGATTAGCGTGGATTTTTCTTTGATAAATTTTGCTGTAGTCATTTCAGTATCAACAGGTTTTGGAAGATTCAGATGTAATCTGTACTTCTCAGATACTTCAATCAATAAATCATCCTAAGAATAATAAACCAAGAGAGATATTTCCTGCTTAAAATTTGTGATACAGTTACTCATTCCTTTCCAATAAGATCTAATTTGTTGCCATGTGACTTGGAATTAGCAAAAAATTACTGTTGTAAATCCCTTAGATTTTAAGGTGGTACTGCTGCTCACTACATCACATGTTAACTGATGCAGTACCACAGTAGAGTGTTGCCATCCTAAATTATGTGGCTGACCAGCAGACAGCAAGGAAACATTGGAGCCTGGAAAGATAGTGATCCATGTTTCGTAATGATTAAGTGTTTAGCGAAACTGACACAGTGATTTGGATGACAAATACTCTGTGGCTAGTTGCTTTGTGGCTTTAGGTAAAGAAGTGGGAAAATAGACAGTTGGGAACATGTGTTTGTTCTGATCGCTACATTTAACAGGGTATTTACAAGAAAGTTGAGTTTAGAATGGACCATTTGCAAGTAAAATTAAAAGGGAATTGGCTGAGTGCGGTGGTTCATACCTGTAATCCCAGCACTTTGGGAGGCTGAGAGTGGGTGGATCACTTGAGGCCAGGAGTTTGAGACCATCCTGGGCAACATGGTAAAACCCCATCTCTACTAAAAATACGAAATTAGCCAGGCTTGGTGGCATATGCCTGTAATCCCAGCTCCTCAAGAGGCTGAGGCAGGAGAATAGATTTAACTTGGGAAGTGGAGGTTGCAGTGAGCCAAAATGGTACCGTTGCACTCCAGTCTGAATGACAGAACGAGACTCTGTCTCAAATAAACAAACAAACAAAAAAAAATTAGAAGGGACTTTAATATAGAGTGCCAAGATTCTAAATCTCAATGAAAAGTGGAACTAATTTTTATTTTCAGCCAGTAAAGGATAAAATGGAGAAATTTTTATCAACAAAGGTTGATTAAGACAGTATAGAGGCAAAGATTAAATCTTCATAAATCTTCACGCTCTTTGCTAAAACCTTTGAATGTATTAAGGTAGACGTCAGTAAATTCTTACATTTGACTAAAATGACAGCAATAAGTCTAAAGAAGACAGGCAAGTATTGAAATAAGGGCAATGTCTAAAAAGAATTATGGGTATCACTGACTGGAATCAAAGAAAATAATCCAGCCTGGACTAAAATAAACTGACTTCAAAATTTAAAGCAATCCTTTGGGTCCCAGGATTCCATGAGCAGGGACCAGGCTGAAAAGGCTATTTAGCATATAAGAATGGCACATTCTTCAATACTCTTCAGATGTGGCCAAGGTGGATAGAGGGAAAGAGGAAAAAAAGAAAGCATCCTCCTGAAGACTGAAGCTAAAGGTCATGGAAAACAATGGAACTGGGGAGCTCGGTAATTACAGAACCTTCTCAAGGAACCTAAGTAAGAACATCCTCTGCCTCCAGAAAAGGAGCCCTCACAATGTCTACCTACTAGGATTTCAGAATTGCTGTGCACCAGTAACTGCAGTGTGCCTCTTATTTTTCCAATTTCTGAATTGAGATGGTTAATTATGGTTATCTTCCCATTCCACATTGTATAATGGATGGGACTGGCAGAGTACATCACTTTTCTTCACATGTCATAGTCCATGGTTCAAGAGGAAGAGAATGCAAAATCCTGTCCTTTGGAGTCTGATAGTGGGATTGGAGGTATTTCCCTTCTGGAAAGCAGCAAATATTTGTGACCAACAATGTAGACTGTGGTAGATTGCAGGACTGACTCCAAGTATTTGCTCTTCTGTAAGAGGATTGTACATCCCTGCCATATGACTTCCTGTGACTGTCTGTGAGAATATACTTCTTAGTCCTCCTGATGTAGGATTTGGCCTTGTGACTTAAACTTCGGCCAATGGAGTGTGAGTAGAAGTGATATAATGAAGTGCCATGTCTGAGTAGAAGTATTAGTATCCATTGCATGGTTTGACCATTTCCCTTTGCTATGGGAATGGCATATCTCAGATGGGAATTGCTCCTTCACCGGGTAACCTCAGCAAATCATTGTAAGCCCCTGACATGTTATGGTTTCTTACTATGGCATAATATAGTGAATGCTGACCGATACAAATGTACAGTATTATCTATTTAACTTACCTCAGAAACACTAAGATCACAGAGAGAGACAGAATTAATACCAGGTAATTCAACTTTCAACTCAATTTTCAGAGGTTTCTCATTGTGATCATGCACAATTTTTATTTCATAGACTGGTATCTTCATCTCCACCTGGATTTCAGTACTAGAAATCTCTTCTATCAGACACACTGCTTTGCCTGAAACTTGGTCTTTTGGCAGTAACAGTTGAGGAAAATGATCTGGATTGCTCATAGTACTGCTTCGTATATGTCCAAGAGTTAGTTCTTCATGAAAAAAAGGGTGGGGCAGGGAGATAAAAAATAAATCCACAATGTAAAATACTATCAAGCTATGAGCTATTATATATGTGGTGTTAGTAGAGATGGTAGATAAAGCTGCAGTTAAATTAGTTTAGGAATCTTTTTTTTTTTTTGTTTTTTTTGAGATGGAGTTTTGCTCTTGTTACCCAGGCTGGAGTGCAATGGCGCAATCTCGGCTCACCGCAACCTCCGCCTCCTGGGTTCAGGCAATTCTCCTGCCTCAGCCTTCTGAGTAGCTCGGATTACAGGCACGCGCCACCATGCCCAGCTAATTTTTTGTATTTTTAGTAGAGATGGGGTTTCACCATGTTGACCAGGATGGTCTCGATCTCTTGACCTCGCGATCCACCCGCCTCGGCCTCCCAAAGTGCTGGGATTACAGGCTTGAGCCACCGTGCCTGGCCAGTTTAGGAATCTTAAGCCAAAAGAATGTTAAGCCAAAGAATTTGATTGAAAAGTTTTCAAGATTTTAAAATCAAGGATATGATAATATTTCTAATATCTAATATTCACATTTTTTTCTATCTTAAGTTTCTCACCCTTTAAAATAGAGACTTTTAGTTTGCAAAATGTATACAGGATGCAAAAAAAAAGAAATCTTAAAGCAGTTTAGTTTTCCATATACAATCATCAACTTACCCCTTCTCATTTTTTCTCTTAAATCTGTGGAATCAGTTTGGATTCCCATCAAATTTTGTTTCATTCTTTGAATGCTTCCTTTTATTCTAAATTTGGTAATACAGTAAGAGTGTGAGAGAGTGAACTGGAATTGCTCCTCAATGCATTTCATGGCCATCTGAATTAACTGATTTTTTTTCAGTTGGTCCTCTTCTGCCGCCTGAAGAACATCAGGATTGTAGGCAACATCGATGACTGTGTAAGCATCTGTGTGTGTAATTGAAGGTACGAAATAAAGACAATTTGTTGCACTAATGATACTGTCAGGCATATATTAATCCATATTCCTGATAAAGCTAGAGAATATTCCTGTATTTTTCAGAGGTAATCATAGTAGTGCTACAGCAATTATGACATTTCCTGGCACTTTTACATGGATTAAAACAGCTCATCTTATTACAAAAGTTAAACAGTATTAAATTTGCACAAAGATCCACTAGTTGTAATTCTATTATCACCAAACAAAGAATTTTACTTGAAATCCTCTCAATCAAGTTAAATCTTGTCCATTCCTAATAACATTTTTACAATGTGCTCTCTCCCTTAATTATTTGTACCTGATGTCTCAGTTGTATCTTCTGGTTTGCCAACAGCTAGAGGTACTGAATGAGTGGTTGACTGGGGAGCTGGGATCCTTGTCCACTGACACAGGTTGATAAAAAGTATTTTTTCTTTTGGTTTCTGGAAAGCAAATAATTTTGCGTATCTCAAAACCTAGTTTAAAACCATTTAAGGCTGGGCACAGTGGCTTATGCCTGTAATTCCAGCACTGTGGGAGGCTGAGGTGGGCAGATCACCTGAGGTTAGGAGTTCAAGACCAGTCTGGTAAACATGGTGAAACCTCTATCTCTACTAAAAATAAAATTAGCCAGATGTGGTGGCAGATGCCTGTAATCCCCGCTACTCAGGGAGGCTGAGGCAGGAGAATTGCTTGAACCCAGGAGGCAGAGGTTGCAGTGAGTGGAGATTACACCATTGCATACCAGCCTGGGTGACAAAAGTGAAACTCTGTCTCAAAAAAAAAAAGAAGGAAACCATTAAAAAAATAATATCCTGAAAGCCACTCACCACATAACTGAAAGAATTTTAGGCTCCAATTAAGTCATTCCATGTATTAAAACTGAGCTGGGCGCGGTGGCTCAAGCCTGTAATCCCAGCACTTTGGGAGGCCAAGGTGGGTGGATCACGAGGTCAAGAGATCGAGACCATCCTGGTCAACATGGTGAAACCCCATCTCTACTAAAAATACAAAAAATTAGCTGGGCATGGTGGCGTGTGCCTGTAATCCCAGCTACTCAGGAGGCTGTGGCAGGAGAATTGCCTGAACCCAGGAGGCGGAGGTTGCGGTGAGCCGAGATCACGCCATTGCACTCCACCTTGGGTAACAAGAGCGAAATTCCATCTCAAAAACAAAAACAAAAACAAAAACAAAAACAAAAACAAAAACAAAAACAAAAAAAAAAACCTGTTTGATTATACTGTTGTTTCTTGATTTTCTCAAGGCTGCTGCCTTTTTTTCCTCTTTGTGGAGAACGGGATCTCTATATTGCCCAGGAAGGTCTCAAACTCCTGGGCTCAAGTTATCCTTCCACCTCTGCCTCCCTAAGAGCTGGGATTACAGGCGTGAGCCACCATGCCTGGTGGCTGTTGCCTTTTAATCAGGAATCCAGACCAGGCATGGTAGCTCATGTATGTTACCCTAGCAGTTTGGGAGGCTAAGGTAGGAGGATCGCTTGAGCCTAGGAATTTGAGACGAGGCTGGGAAACACAGGGATACCCTGTCTCTACAAAAATAATTTTTTTTTTTTTTTTTTTTTTGAGACGGAGTTTCGCTCTTGTTACCCAGGCTGCAGTGCAATGGCGCGATCTTGGCTCACCGCAACCTCCGCCTCCTGGGTTCAGGCAATTCTCCTGCCTCAGCCTCCTGAGTAGCTGGGATTACAGGCACGTGCCACCATGCCCAGCTAGTTTTTTGTATTTTTAGTAGAGACGGGGTTTCACCATGTTGACCAGGATGGTCTCGATCTCTCGACCTCGTGATCCACCCGCCTTGGCCTCCCAAAGTGCTGGGATTACAAGCTTGAGCCACTGCGCCTGGCCCAAAAATAATTTTAAAATTGTCCGGGCACAGTGGCTTGCCTGTAATCCCAGCACTTTGGGAGGCAAAGGTGGGCAGATCGCCTGCGGTCAGGAGTTTGAGACTAGCTTGATCAACATGGAGAAACCCAGTTTCTACTAAAAATACAAAATTCGCCAGGCATGGTGGCGCATGCCTGTAATCCCAGCTACTCAGGAGGCTGAGGCAGAATTGCTTGAACTTGGAGTCAGAGGTTGTAGTGAGCCAAGATCATGCCATTGCACTCCAGCCTGGGCAACAAGAGCAAAACTCCATCTCAAAAAGAAAAAAAAAAAAAAAAAAAAAAAAAATTAGCTGGGTGTGGTGGTGCCCACCTGTGATCTCAGCTACTTGGGAGGCTGAGGTGGGAGGATCGTTTGGGCTGCAATGAGCTGTGATTGTGCCACTACACTCCAGCTTGAGCAACAGAGCCAGCAAGACCTTATCTCAAAAAACAAAAACAAAAACAAAAGTCCAATTGCGGCTCCCAGAATTGGAAGGAAGCAGGGGGAATTGATCTAAGCATTTGTTCTAGGTTAATTTGACCCTATTTTACCACTTCCTTATCTCCCTAACCAAATAAGTTATTTGAAAAAGTTCCAACTCCATGTTTTTATACTAAATCATTTCACTACTTTTTATCTTTATTTTAGCAGAAAAAATGGCTGCTTTTAAAATCTCCAAGAGCTATCAAGTATGAATTTCCCGTTTTTACTCCTTCAACATAGTCTTTCATGCTATGTTTCATTTTCTATTTAGAGAAGCAATTTCCCTCTAAATTGTGTTAAAGTAGCAATAGCTAGCTGGGTACAGTCGCTCATGCCTGTAATCCCAACGCTTTGGGATGCCAAAGCGGGTGGATCACCGAGTCCAAGATCAGCCTGGTCAACATTGTGAAACCTGTCTCTACTAAAAATACAAAAATTAGCCAGCTGTGGTGGGACATGCCTGTAGTACCAGCTACTCAAGAGGCTGAGGCAGGAGAATCGCTTGAACCAAGGAGGCAAAGGTTGCAGTGAGCCAAGACTGTACCACTGCACTCCAGCCTGGGTGACAGAGCAAGACTCAGTCTCAAAAAAAAAAAAAAAAAAAAAAAAAAAGTAGCAATAGCTAAGTGTAAGGTATTGCCTGGTTCTTCTGGGATAATTTCATTCAAGACCTTCCCATCCCTGGCACTAACTCAACTTACCAGAATCCTGGTCTGTAGGCAAAGCTGTGGCTCTGGGGCAGAACAGAGCTGTTTCCCTTCTTTCAGCTGCTGTTGAATAAACTTCTCATAGCCCTCAGGGTCACTTTCAGCTAGATCATCTAGGAGATTCCACAATTGAGTAACTTGGGTGAGCAGACCCTTTGAGGATGTTTCCATAACTGATGAATTGTGAATAAGTTTCTTAAGCCTGTGGAAAGACATGACTTCAGGAAGAAAAGTGTCTGCGTAACTATTGATTTATTTCTGCTTTGGGGAGGTGGAATGGGCAGGAATTGTTCTGGTGAAGTTAGCACTTAGCACCTGTGTCTAAAAGGTTGTGGATCAGCACCACTTTATGTCTTCCTTGTTCTTTAATTATCTAGTACCTCTTCCTATCTTCTCATGTTGTCCTCTCGGATAAGGCCTTACTTCTACTTGGACCTGACAAGTCAGAGTAATCATTTTAAGTCTGGGTTTCCTGATCTTCTTGTTCCAACACCTGACTGGTACCTCCCCAGTTCTGAAATTGCCAGTTCTGATATTGTCAGTTCTGAAATCTTACGTTGGGTGAGGGCCACGTGAGACTTCCTTAATCTTCAGTATAGTTTAGTAATTCAAAGCATGGACTCGCGAGCCAGAATGCCTAGATTCCGGTCTTAGTTCTGTCTCTAGCTGTTGACCTTGAGCAATTATTTGTGTGTGTGTGTGTGTGTGTGTGCGTGTGTGTATCTGCCTCTTCTTCGTTCTGCTCAAAATGAAGATGATAATACCTATGTCATAGGGTTATTTCGAGGATTAAGTCAGCTAACAGAGAGGCTGGGAACCTTTACGTCTTCAGATAACTCTCCTTGGCCTCTTCTTCCATTAGAGAGGTCTCCCACAGCATCTTCACAATGAGGGAAAGAGGAGGTTTAGATTCTTCAACTACTATGTTAGGGTTACGCTAAATGGGAAACTTAACTAACGGGTAATCATTCCATAGGTCTGCAAACCCACCTCTTCTCTCAGTTCTAACGGGTAATCATTCCGTAAGTCGGCAAACCCACCTCTTAGTTCCTTGACAAACCGCAACATCTATTACCAGGGTAACCAGCCTGGGTACAACATCTAATTGGGTCCGGAGTTTCAGGCAGAAAAGTCTCTTTATATCTAGTTCCGGAACGTCTCCCTTCTGGTGCCAGGCTAGCACCTTCCAGGAAAGCGCCCGCAGCCCTTCTGCACCAGTCAGTCTCTGGAGTGTCCGGAGAACCCTCCCTTGTGGGAGTCTCTGGGCCGCCTGTTGGTGGGAAGATTTCTCAGGAAGCACGACTTCCGGCCTGAAAAGGAAGTCTCGTTTTTCTCCTAAATCGCTTCTTCCCCCCCCTACCCCCCGCCACGCGAGGCTGCGGCGCACGGTATGGGTGTGTTTGTGTGTATTTGTGTGGGGAGGGCATTTGGAGGGAAGGTTACCGGGAGCTCCGAGGCCGCTGGGGGACAGGGATCCCGATGACAAAGATGGGGATATTTCCTCTGTGTTCCATTTGGAAACCTCAACCCCCGCTTCAGGCCCCCTAGATACTTCCTGGGGCCCAACCGAAGGCCGTAGCCATCCAGAGCGTTCCCATCTTTTCTGGGGAGTGAAACTTACCCCCGGGGTTCGTCCCAGAGGAGCGTGAGCGGGGAATGCCCGGGTCAACCCGGTCGTCCGAATTTCGCGCCGGCTCAGCATCCGGCTTCGGTCCGGGAGAGATAATCTGCCTGTGGATCTGGGCTGAGGGCGGCGGTGGCCTGGGCCACAGGTGAGGGCAGAATAACCAGTGGGAAGGCTGCGTTTTCACGAAGGACTCGGGTGAAGCTGCAGAGCTGCCTTTGAGCCCTGACTCCTTGGCTTCCTGGGTCGGAGGAGATCTTGTAATGGAGTGGTTCTTCGTCTCACTAACAAGATGCCTGATTTCCTCAGGATCAAGGGGTGAGTGAGCGTTGGGATGGTTGCACAAAGCCCTGCTAGCCACGCACGAAAATATTCTTGTCATCTAGTTTTTGGAAGCTTCCATACCAAGCAGGAAATAAAATGCCCCCAAATATAGAAATTTAGGGCATCTTTACCTTTGATGTTTTGAGTCATTAGTTTCTGTTACTGTTGACATCTGCGGTTCCTGACACTCTCAAATCTACGTATATTTGCTTCATTGCAAACTAATATTGGGATTGGAGGTTTGATTTTTAATCTAGACATTGACCTCTATCATTTGCCTGGGAGTGTGTGGCTTGGGATATTACAGCTTTAAGGGAACTTCATCTACAAAATTGGGATGGAGATATTTGCCTCATATAAAAAATAGATTTATTATGAGGATTAAATAAAATAGTGCTCATGAAAGCATTTATTTTTATTCAGTCTTGTACATTTTCAAAGAACTTTAATTTACATTATCTTCTTTCATCTCACATTAGTGTGTTCAGGCATTTCCCTCTTTTAATAGTAAAGGGAGAACTATTACGATCTCTGACTTATAGTTTTCAGTGATCTTTTCTTTACTTCATTCTTCTTTATAAAATTTAAGAAAAGATGAAGTAATAAAAGAAATTATTACTAAACATTATTCGTTGATTCATTTCAGATTGAAGAATGTCCCGGATTCCACTGGGGAAAGTCCTCCTGAGGAATGTCATCCGGCACACAGATGCTCACAATAAGGTAGGAGGTACAACCTAGTTATTCCTCAACACTTACTGAAGGCAAACAGGGTGCCAAACATTATTTTGGCACAACTGGGAGATACAAATAATTTTCTTGTCATCTAGTTTTTGGAGGCTTCTGTACAAAGTGGGAAATAAAATTATGAATAAAATAGATAATTATAATACAGTTTGATGAGTGACGTATGACAAGTATTTGCAAAGTGCTCTGGAGCACTAAGGAGGAAATAATAAAATTTACCCTGGGGAATTAGAAAAGATTTTACAGAATGAGTGATATTTGAGCTGTTTATATTTGAACTGGTTCTTGAATAGGTATAAGTTTACCAGGTAGGAAAGATCATTCTGGATAGAGAGCATCATACATTAATATGGCAATGAGAAAGAGCATTAATCACTTGAGGCATGGTAAGAAATTTATGTATCCAGAAAGTAGGGAATGTAGGGGTCAGTAGCAGAAGATAAGGCCTCAGTGGTAATTTAGAGTTGGATTGTGATGTTTGGAGCTGAGACTTTTTCCTCTAGGCAATAAAGAAGCCATCAAATGTTTTTAAACGGTGTGACATGATCATAGCTATATTTTAGAAAGGTGACTTGTCAGCTGGGTAGGGAATGAATCAGATGGAGAGAAATAATAGGGAGATTAATTAGGAGGTAATTACAGTATTACAGGTGAGAGATGATGAGTGTTTGCATGAAATTAGTGACAGCAGGGATGAAGAAGAGGAATTTAGGATAAATCCAAATAACTTGGTGGCTAATTAAATGATAATGATAAGAATGGAATCTAATTCAGTTGACCATTGAACAACACAGGGTTTAGGGACATCCACCCCCCTCCACCAACCGCCCCCCACCCCCGCCACCCCGCCCCGCCGGCATAGTCAAAAATCCATGTATAACTTTTTACTCCCTCAAAACTTAAGTGCTAATAGCCTACTACTTACTGACTGAAAGCCATAGCAATACCATAAACAGTTGATTAACACATATTTTTGTTGTTGTTGTTGAGATGGAGTTTTGCTCTTGTTGCCCAGGCTGGAGTACAGTGGTATGTTCTTAGCTCACCGCAACCTCCACCTCCCAGGTTCAAGCGATTCTCCTGCCTCAGCCTCTGAGTAGCTGGGATTACAGGCATGCGCCACTGTGCCCAGCTATTTTGTATTTCTAGTAGAGACGGGGTTTCTCCATGTCGATCAGGTTGGTCTTGAACTCCTGACATCAGATGATCTGCCCGCCTTGGCCTCCTAAAGTGCTGAGATTACAGGTGTGAGCCACTGCACCTGGCCAACACATTTTTTATGTTACATGTATTATATACTGTATTTTTTACAGTAAAGTAGCTAGAGAAAAGAACATTTTATTATGAAAGTCACATTGAGTAGGCTGAGGAGAAAGAAGAGGGGGTTATTTTACTGTCTCACAGGTGGCAGAGGTAGAAGAAAATCTGAGGGTAAGTGGACCTTCACAGTTGAGATTCCTGTTGTTCACCTGTATGACTGGGTAGATCATGATGATTCTGTTAATTGAGATAAAGAACAAAAAAAGGGACAAATATGATAGGAAAGGTAATTAGTTTGGTTTTCAACATGTTTATGGTGAGCTGTTTGTAGGCTGTCCAGACAGTTGAACATTCAGGCTTGGAGGAAAGGATAAAAGTTGGGGCTGGACATGAAGGTTTTGGAATTATTGATAAGAGGTAGATGATAAGAGGTTGTGGGCCGGGTGCGGTGGCTCACGCCTGTAATCCCAGCACTTTGGGAGGCCGAGGCAGGTGAATCACGAGGTCAAGAGATCGAGACCATCCTGATCAACATGGTGAAACCCGTCTCTACTAAAAATACAGAAAATTAGCTGGGCATGGTGGCACCTGCCTGTAGTCCCAGCTACTCGGGAGGCTGAAGCAGGAGAATTGCCTGAACCCAGGAGGCGGAGGTTGCAGTGAGCCGAGATTGTGCCATTGCACTCCAGCCTGGGTAACAAGAGCGAAACTCTGTCTCAAAAAAAAAAAAAAAAAAAGAAAAATAAAAAAAAGAGGTTGTGAGAGTAGATGGTCACCTAGGAGAGCACATTTAATGAAAATTGGGCCAAGGTCCCAGGTTTAGTTTTCTTCAGTAAACTGTACTACTTTTGGTTTGATCATATTATTACTATCATATCACCTGATTTTTTAAATTATGGGTGAGGGTAAAACTGTTACCCAAGCTGCCTATGCAATTATGTTAACCTGCCCCTAGTTATATAGTAAGCTTAGATTTGATATGGTAGCTAAAAAAAGATAAATCTAGGACAGATCTAATGAAATTATGGAGGAAGACTTAGAAATAAAATGTGTTCATGTTTTTTAGGTAATCACATTTTGCTTTTCAGAAAGTTCTCTAGCAGCCATACTATTTATTTTATTTTGTTTTTGACAAAAATTATGTTGAGAAAAGAGGTTTAGCCTAGGGAGTTTGTTTTTTGTTTTTTTTTTTTTTTTTTGAGACGGAGTTTCGCTCTTGTTACCCAGGCTGGAGTGCAATGGCACGATCTCGGCTCACCGCAACCTCCGCCTCCTGGGTTCAGGCAATTCTCCTGCCTCAGCCTCCTGAGTAGCTGGGATTACAGGCACGTGCCACCATGCCCAGCTAATTTTTTGTCTTATTAGTAGAGACGGGGTTTCACCATGTTGACCAGGATGGTCTCGATCTCTTGACCTCGTGATCCACCTGCCTCGGCCTCCCAAAGTGCTGGGATTACAGGCTTGAGCCACCGCGCCCGGCCTAGCCTAGGGAGTTTAAAGACCTGTCCTCTTTGCAATAAAATGTAATAATGGCGGGGCACGGTGGATCACGAGGTCAAGAGATCGAGACCATCCTGATCAACATGGTGAAACCCCGTCTCTACTAAAAATACAAAAAATTAGCTGGGCATGGTGGCGCGTGCCTGTAATCCCAGCTACTCAGGAGGCTGAGGCAGGAGAATTGCCTGAACCCAGGAGGCGGAGGTTGCGGTGAGCCGAGATTGGGCCATTGCACTCCAGCCTGGGTAACAAGAGCAAAAAACTCCGTCTCAAAAAAAAAAAAAAAAAATGTAATAATGGTAGCTGTTTTATTTTCCTCGTGAGATTGCTTAAGGTTCATTTGAGGTGATACAATTAAAATAACATTGCATTTTGGAAATGTGGCATTATTTTCTAATCACAGCATAATTGCAAAATTGATAAGGTGATGTTTGTCTATTCAGGGGTTTAAAATTCTATTGGAGTAGAATTCTACATATTTGAGATTTACTGGATTGGACTGTTCAGCCACTTTCTAGAGAAACCAAAGTTTGTTTTCCAGGTTCATGATCATAGCCCAGTCTGTAGCCCAATAATTAGTTAGATTGTATTTTCAGTTGGTTACTTTTCTGTAATGTAAAGTTATTT